GGCCCAGGCCACTAGCCCATGTCCTTTCTGTAAGCAAATTCCCAGGCTCCTTTCCTGGGATAACCACTGTCCTCCAGGGTCAGCTATGGAGGAAGGATCTCCACCGGGGACAACTGTCTCTGAGACTGCCATTCCCCTTGGGGAGCCCACTAGCCATCCTGACCTTCACCATCCTGTACCTGAAAGACACAGGTCCTCATACCACTGGCCTAAGTGTAGCCACACATGCCTCCCTAATTCCGCCCAGTACAATCCAAACCAGACAGAATATCCAAGGCTTTCTTGATGACAAATGAGAATTAGTCTCAGCTGCTGGATATGCTGATGCCCCTGCCAGAGTACCAAGGTGGTGTGGGAAATATGGCCTCACCATGTGGTGACAGCCCCGGGGGTTGGGGAGGGGGTTTGCTTCAAGGACGATGTCTGCTTTCTGGATCCAAGGGGCCCTGTGTCACTGGGGACTCTCACATTTGGGCAGAATGGAGGAAACAAACGTCTCTTCTCTGGTTGCAGGGGTGCCCTAATGACAGGAGCAGGCAGTGTCCTTCTACGGGGCCCCCCTGGCAGTGGGAAGACCACTGCAGTTGCTGCCGCCTGCAGCTGCCTCGGGCTCCACTTACTGAAGGTGAGGGTCCCTGGAGAGTGGATCCCAACCACGTCTCCTCCACAGCCCGGATTCTCCCTCTCCCCCTGGCTACAAGCCTGACCCCGCCACCTCAGCCTAGTGGGCCAGTGGGTCAGGCATAGTCCCATGATGCTGAGCTACTGAGAGATGCTTTCAAGAAGGAGGATGCTCCAAGGTTTTGGTGGACAGTCCAGGAAATGAGGTTAGGGTAAAGAAGAGTTAGGGCTCGGCCAGTGTTACCTTCCTCCCCCATCCCTGCCCTCCAAAAAGAGATGGCCTGTACCTTCTTGTGAGTCCTCCCTCCATTCTCCTGCCCCAGTCACCCCTGCCTCCTTGCTCACAGGCCCATCGGGACCCCCTCCCCAGGTGCCCTGCTCCAGCCTCTGTGCAGACAGTAGCGGGGCTGTGGAGACAAAACTGCAGGCCACTTTCTCCCGGGCCGGGCGCTGCCGGCCTGTGGTTCTGTTGCTGACAGCTGTGGACCTGCTGGGCCGGGACCGTGATGGGCTAGGCGAGGATGCCCGTGTGGTGGCCACACTGCGTCGCCTCCTCCTGGATGAAGACCCCCTCACCAGGTATCATCCAGCGCTGGGCCTGGAAGGGGGTAGGGTCCAGCCCTCTCTTCACCACCCTCTCAGTGGCTTCTTAGACGTCTGCTGCCCATCTGGCTGCTCTCCAGGCATCCCTGAGCTGAGGGGCATGGGGGTACCCAGAGGGAGGAGGATGCAGTCCCTTGTATTTCTTGGGGGACACTGAAGCACAGCCTCTGCCCTCACTGAGTGCCCTGTGTGTGGGGGATGCCCCATCCAGGAAGCTTTGGGGCGCCCATCTCCCTGTCCCATCCCAGCCCTACCCTCCTCCCTGTCCTCCTGCGCCAGCCTCAGGACGAGGCAGTGCTCAGGGGCTGCCGGCCATCTTCTTGCCCTGAGTGCTGCCCACTCCCTGTCTGCAGCTGCCCTCCCCTGATGGTCGTGGCCACCACAAGCCGGGCCCAGGACCTGCCTGTGGATGTGCAGACAGCGTTTCCTCACGAGCTGGAGGTGCCTGTGCTGTCAGAGGGGCAGCGGCTCAGCATCCTGCGGGCCCTCACTGCCCACCTCCCACTGGGCCAAGAGGTGAACCTGGCGCAGCTGGCACGGCGGTGTGCAGTGAGTACCCAGACAGGATACGGGCCGCCCTGCACTCTTTGCCGGGGGTACTCAGTCCTGCTGCCATGCAAGTGTGCAAGTGAAGGTAGAAAACCCGAGGCATCAGTGATGGGCCTCTGCTCCAGCCAGGGGTCCAGCCCCCCAAGGGTTCCTGCCTACTGTGCCCTGCTCACGTGTCCTCTCCTGTGGTTCCCCAGGGCTTTGTGGTAGGGGATCTCTATGCCCTTTTGACCCACAGCAGCCGGGCAGCCTGCACCAGGATCAAGAACTCGGGGTAAAGAAATTGGGCACAGGAGGGGCAAGGCGGCAAGAGGCGGTATGGGTGGGGAGGGGCTGGTGAGGAAGGGAGGAAGGTGAGGGCCCTTGTGGGGAGGAGACCTCAGGTTAGGTCCTCCAGAGGCCTCCCTGGATTTTCCTTTGCAGCTGGGCAGGTGGCTTGAGTGCGGAGGATGAGGGGGAGCTCTGTGCTGCTGGCTTTCCTCTCCTGGCTGAGGACTTTGGGCAGGCGCTGGAGCAGCTGCAGTCAGCTCACTCCCAGGCCATCGGAGCCCCCAAGGTAGACACTCCAGGTCCTTGGAGGTGGGACCGGAGCTCCCTCCACCAGCACGTGCCCAACTGTGCCCTTTCCATCTCCTAGATCCCCCTGGTGTCCTGGCATGATGTGGGTGGGCTGCAGGAGGTGAAGAAGGAGATTCTGGAGACTGTTCAGCTCCCTCTAGAGCACCCTGAGCTGCTGAGCCTGGGCCTGAGGCGCTCCGGCCTTCTGCTCCACGGGCCCCCTGGCACGGGCAAGACCCTCCTGGCCAAGGCAGTAGCCACTGAGTGCAGCCTTACCTTCCTCAGGTGGCGAGGGGCCCTGGCAGGGAGGGTGGGTGGATTGGGGGCAGCGGCAGGGGGCAGGAGGTGTGTTGTGTGTTTCTGCGTCTGAGGAGTCTCACCCTCTCCCATCCCCTCCCTCAGCGTGAAGGGGCCCGAGCTGATCAACATGTACGTGGGCCAAAGCGAGGAGAATGTACGGCAAGGTGAGTGGGGGAGTGGGGGCAGGGCTTCTGGCCCCTGAGCCGCCCCCCTACCCTCAGGCTGCTCGAGGTCACTGCTAGTCTTCCTCTCCCCAGGTCAGGTTCCTGCTGGGTGGGGCCTCTTCTGAAGTGCTAATGATGAATTGTCAACATGGGTTTCCCTCGCCATCTCCTGACTTCAAACCCCCCTGGGCTTACCCGTCCTGTGGGCCCTTCTCTCTCCTAAGTGTTTGCCAGGGCCAGGGCCGCAGCTCCATGCATCATCTTCTTTGATGAACTGGACTCCTTGGCCCCGAGCCGGGGGCGAAGTGGAGACTCTGGAGGTGTGATGGACAGGTGGGGGTCTGAGCCAGAACGGAATCTGGGGTCCAGGACAGAGGGATGTGAGACAGGTTGCACTAGTCTTTGGAGCCCAAAGAGTTCCTGCCCTTCTGGTTCTGTGATAGTATAACAGAAGCTAAAAGGGGCCGTGGGGCTTCCCTGGTGGCACAGTGGTTGAGAGTCCGCCTGCCGATGCAGCGGACACGGGTTCGTGCCCCAGTCCGGGAAGATCCCTCATGCTGCGGAGCGGCTGGGCCCGTGAGCCATGGCTGCTGAGGCTGTGTGTCCAGAGCCTGTGCTCCGCAACGGGAGAGGCCACGACAGTGAGAGGCCCGTGTACCTCAAAAATAAAAAGGGGCCATGGAATTGGGTGTGGGGCATTGAGGAGATGGGGGCCTGTGTGGAGGGGTACACAAAGCACAACCGGGCAGGGGGCCCTGTGGAGACAGCCTGCAAGGAACACCACAAGCAGGGTAGAGGCTGAGGGTGCACCAAGCACTCTCTCACCTTCACTTCCTCCTTCACAGGGTGGTGTCTCAGCTCCTGGCTGAGCTGGATGGGCTTCACAGCACTCAGGATGTGTTTGTGATTGGAGCCACCAACAGACCAGACCTCCTGGACCCTGCCCTTCTGAGGCCTGGCAGGTGTGCACCCCGTACCTCTCACCTCTGCCAGGCCCGTTTGGGCCTGTCCCTTGACCCCCATCCGGTGCCTCTCCACCCTCATGCCAGGCACCCTGGCACTCATGCCCATCTGTCTCCCTAAAGGTTTGACAAGCTGGTGTTTGTGGGAGTGAGCGAGGACCGCGCCTCCCAGCTGCGTGTTCTGACTGCCATCACGCGCAAGTATGCCCTGTTAGAGGGAGACCCCCACAGGGCTTGGGCCTTGGGATGGTTAGGGGATAAGTGCAGAGTGCACAATAAGCTGGTCAGGGATGCCTTCTGACAGAGTAGGAGTTGCCAGGTAAGTCTCTTTCTTTCCTGTATCCCCACAACAGATTCAGGCTCGAGCCCTCTGTGAACCTGGTGGACGTGCTGGACCACTGCCCACCCCAGCTGACAGGCGCAGACCTCTACTCCTTATGCTCCGATGCCATGACAGCTGCCCTCAAACGCAGGGTTCAGGACCTGGAGGAAGGTGAGCCACTCACCAGCCCCAGAGGTCAGCCAAGGACCTAGTGGGCACCAGGCCTGGTTCTGGATTTCAGAGGAGGGACTGTTGACCACTGGGGGACTCTGGGCAAGAAGGTGCCTACCAGGGTGCTCCCCTGCTTGGGCAGAGACCACAGCCTCTGTGTCCCAGCTGGCCTCACCTCCCCTTGTCACCCCCAGGCCTGGAGCCCGGGAGCTCGGCACCGCTGCTCACCATGGAGGACCTGCTGCAGGCTGCAGCCCGGCTACAGCCCTCGGTCAGTGAGCACGAGCTGCTCCGGTACAAGAGCATCCAGCGCAAGTTTTCTGCCTGCTAGGAGCCTCCTGCAGCCTGGGACCCTGCCCGCAGGGGCTAAAGGTATCTCCACAGAGACCTGAGAGAGCAAAGACTCTTTCTCAGGCCAGTGCCACCGACCCACCTGAACGCTGCCTACCTCCAGGCACTTCCTTGAGTGCCAAGTGGCATCAGGAGCCCCGAGAGAGCTCAGGAGGCATCCTCTTCCCACCTGTCCGCCCTCCAGGCCAGCTCCAAGACTAAGGCCCCTCTGCTCAGGAGGAAGGATCAGGTCCTGAGGGAGCCCCATCTGTGGCTGAAAATAAAGCGTATGCCGCCCCCTGCTGGTGTTGTGGTCTAAAAGGTTGGCGTGGAGAAGAGCAAGCCAATGGCGGAGTAAACTCAGGGGAGGGCAGGGTGGGCACCGCAGGAGCCTGATCCTTCTGATACAAACACAAGGTATACAGGACCTGAAAAAGGTATAAACTATATTGTTCAGCCTTCCATCTGCCTGAACCCAAATCCCTGTCCCCCAGCTGCAGCCTGCCCCTCCCCACACCCCCAAGATCTGCACTGGAGGGGGCTGGGCTTGGTGTGGGGCTCCTGGTCCCTCCTCCCCAGACAGAGCCTGGCAGTGCCTGGGCAGAGGGCTGTGGGAGCTGAGGGCTTGTTCAGTCTGTCTTCTTGAGCACGTGGATGAAATAGCAGGGAATGTAGGCCTGGCCCGTCTTGTAAGGCTTGAAGTCACCCAGGACGCTGTGCTGGCACTTGCCCCCGAAGGCTGTTTGAAGCAACTCCGTAAAGGATGCCAGACAGTGAGGGTAGTAGGAGAGCCGGAACTTACTGCAACAGAGCCCCCGACCAACCATGAGGACTGGTGATCTCAGCACCCTCACCCCGCCCCCCCCCCACGCCCCC